CTGCAGACTTCCACCCACCGGAAGCTGCATAATAGAGGCGAGCAGATCTGGAGATGCCCGGTTCACCTTCGCTTCACAGCGTGGCGCAGCTAGTGCGGATACTTCAATACGCGACGGGCCGGTGGACACAATGTACTAAGGGGCAACCAGACCATCGAAAAAGTCGTGCAGATAACGAAAAAGCTGGTTACGAAGGTTGCATGTGATTAGTGAGCCAATCCCATAGAAATTGGAGGTGAAGATAGATAACGTGCTTTGGATATCTATGCGACAAACCATCAAAATACAGTGACAATGATGTGGTGGCCAGCATACGAGACTTATTCGCAATAGGGCGGCAAGAGTATCGCGCTGTTTTCAGACCCATTATGAACCAACTGGTGCTGGCAGATGTATGTGGCCAGCGAGTCGATTGGGTTGAGTTTAACGGCGGATATGATAATGAACGCGGTGACTTCGGGCGGCGAGCCATTTCAATGCACTTCAATCTTATACGACCTCGTACCCCGTGGTTGTGTTGCCGCTAACGGCAGCCGCATAGCTACCGTGCCTCAGCCTAATATCCACGTACGGCAGTGTCCGGCCCTTGCCTGTATGCGCAGCCGCCTTGCTCGGCCCGCGCTTTTTTGTATGCCGCCATCCTCGGTCTGGATCTGTCTGCGGACCTGCCATCCTCGGTCTGGATCTGTCTGCGGGCCGGCCATCCTCGGTCTGGATCTGTCTGCGGACCTGCCATCCTCGGTCTGGATCTGCCTGCGGGCCGGCCATCCTCGGTCTGGATCTGCCTGCGGGCCGGCCATCCTCGGTCTGTATCTGTCTGCGGGCCTGCCGTGCTCGGTCTACATCTGTCTGCGGACCGGCCGTGCTCGGTCCTTACACGCCTACATTCCGGCGTGCTTGGTCTGTGCCTGTCTGCGGGCCGGCCGTTCTCGGTCCTTACACCCCTACATTCCGGCGTGCTCGGTCTGTACCTGTCTGCGGACCGGCCGTGCTCGGTCCTTACCTGTCTGCGGGGCATGTCGTGGTCTGTCCGTACCTGTGTGCGGGGCCTGACAGTGTCCGGCCCCTATACCTGGGTGTATAGTCACCCTGAGCGTTGAGCCATACATGTTGCGTTCTTGAAACGTGTGTATGCTTTGCTATGTTTAACGCTAACGTAGCATGTGGGTAGAATTGCAGATAGCCAAACCGCGACACCATATGTAGCTGTGACAATGTCTTTTTGCCGGAACAACGTTAATTGCACAGCTGATGAATCTCTGTGCGGTTTGTGCGAGTGGCGGTGCGCTCCAATAATTCCATTTACTGGACAAAGTTTGATTGGCCACACCCACTCAAAAACAGCGATGATGAGGGCTCCCAGACTGCCATGTGTACGAAGTCTCGGGCAGCACCCGTGTGAACCTGGTTCATGGCTGGATGTGTCATAGCGTCGGTCGCCACTTGTTCAGTCTTCTGCGGCAACATATGTGCCTCATGACAAAAGATGGCCTTTCCTTGTTTAACGCGCGTTCAGGGGGTCAATTTGACCCTCGAAAGTTGTTTCCGAATAGTTTTCGAACGACGCGGCGATAGCGGGATGTTTGGTATCAAAAAGTCACATATACTTTGTGAGGTCGTTTACCTATGGTAGGTCAAAGTCAAACCATGGATTCAGCGAGGTCAGTTTCTATGAAATCGTTCACTCTGATGCAACAGCGAGGTGTTACAGACAGCCGTACATCTCTGAGATACTTTCTTAGGCAACAAAACAGTTAAATGAACAAATTCCATTGACCTAGGGTCAGGTATAAAGGTCAGACCAAGGTCAAGACCAACCTGTTTTTTTTCTCTGAAGCTTGCTGTATGGGGTAGTTTCTGGTGCTCATTTCGAACTTATTGATCACAGGAACCACGTTATATATCTTCCATGGATTTTATATGGGTCAGAATAGGTCAATAATCTAAAATGATCCAGGTCAACATTTTATTTTCAGGAACATACCGCCTAGCGTGATCTTTGTCGCTCATTCGAATGCAAAACAAAGCAGCCTCGTATGATTTTGGTTACCATGATCTTTGAGAGGTCAAACGAGCTCACTGACCTTAAATAAGTATGTCACCTTTTTCTTGAGCAGTTATCTAGGTTCTGGGGGCATTTTTGAGACCAACCCGGAGTTTGACCTCGTTTGACCTTATTTGACACGAAGGCCTAAGAAGACAAGAAGACAAGAAGACCTAAGAACCTCAAGCTTTGACCTATGTGAGTTCACGTACAGTTCAGCACCCCTGTTAATTTGGTGCATCTAACTCTCTTGGTTCCTAAGATCTCAGGGGTCAAACTGACCCCCACCCGAGCGAAGGGTATCGAACTGGCCACTCGGGCGCGTCTTAAAACAGCTCCTCGAAACACGGCTTCTAAACCTCGCAAAAATTACGGTCAGCGGCATGCGTGGGATGAAAGCCGGCCTTCGTAAGGCGCACGGGCAACGCAAGTTGTGTAACGCTTTACCTTAAGTGTTGACGTTCTTCTTCTCACAATCCTTCAAAAAGGAGAGGTCACATGTATTCAGAACTCAGCAGCAGTCGGGCTTGCTCGCGCTGTGATGCACGAGTACCGAGTCGCGGCCCTGGTCGTGGCCAGGCCTGGTCTGCCGGTACGCAGTATGCGTCAGATTTATACGCCGAGGCGCGTTACCGGACGCCCTCTGCACTCGCGCGCGCTGGCTCGAGAACGCTCCAGCGCGTCTCACGGTGACGTTGCGGCATCGAGTGCGCGAGCTACAATCGTCACGTGAACAATAGTCGTAATTGTAACAACAGACTGTACGGGCCGTCAGTATACATAAGGCGCGGAACATCATGACCAAAACATAAGACGGAAGCGTATACATAAGACCAAAACCCTTGACTCACTACCTACGTCCCATTGTCGCATGAGCCATTAGTGCCGTCGGTTTAGCCCGCGTCACTTCTGTCAACACACGGCCAGCAGACTGCACGCAGTCTGGCTGCTGGTGTAGTTTCAAACTTGGAAGCCAACCCAGGTTTTGACAGGACGACTGTCTTGTGGTAGGCCTCTTGAGAGTAAGAAGGGCTCTCCAAATTTCGGCACTCGTCCGGCGTAAATGGCAGTACCTGGCCGTCTCCCTGAGGCTTCCTGGTCTCATGTCGTTTCGGATCCGCTGATCATCATGGGGTTATTTTCTACGTAATTTCGATATTAGGAACCTCATAGGCACAATCTGAGCACGAGCGGCCCTGAAAGGGGCCCGTGGCCAGAACGGCTGGAACGGCTTGCCTCTCCATCCCTGAGGACCACATGTCTCTCTAAAGCAAAATCCTTTCGTAGGAAAGGATCCCTCCAGGCCTTCCTCATGTGCTCCCAATGTTCTATCCCTTGCTTTCGTCAAGCCGTGACGGCTCTCTTAGACCTGACAGGGGTCGGGGTATACACCCGCATGCATTATTACCTTGGACCTGACGGGGTCGGGGTATGCGCCCGCATGCATCATTACCTTAGACCTGACGAGGTCGGGTATACGCCCGCGTGCATAATTACCTTGGACCTGACGGGGACGGGGTATGCGCCGCATGCATAATTGTCTGGCCAATAAGTTACATGCGCCATTGCACCGCCACAGTCAAGCCATCCTGAGATCATTTTTTATCACGGAAAGTAATGCACGTGACGCGCCACTTATCAGGAAACGTTTCAAAATTGCCCAACTTTGTCAGTATCTTTTACAGCAGTGTAAGACAAACTATCGAATTTGGAATTTACCGCCATTAGGGTGTCATGGATTCTACATGGCGTCGGGTGGTTGGATGCTCGCAGTCATTCATCCCTATTGAATAAACCATAAAACCTAGTGGTTCAAATCGTAAGCACCTCATTTGAGAACGCACTTGTAGTTTACCTTCAACCCCTAGGGCTGCGTACTCCTCTCACGTTTCGCGCGCAACATTAGACTTCCCCCTCCCATCCCCTCCCGTCCAGAGTCTGCGCGCGCGGCATTGGCTTCTGCCCGAAATTTTCTTTTGTGGTCAGCCTCTCGCAAATGTTACAGGAAGCTGTACCACTGCATATTACAATTTGACCATTAGATTCACAATCAGTATGCTAACGTTTTATCGGTAAAGTACATAAATTATCTTGACATTAACAACGTCGTACAAAAGCAATGTCGGAGGATCTAAAACAGGCAAAAGGCGAAAGGCTATTTTGTAGCGGGACGACGATATTGTTCCATGCCCATCATATTTAGAGAAATAAAGGTAAGAAAGGGCTTACGATGATCACGACACCGCTGGCGTTCAAGCAGGTGTGACGTCATATTGTTTGCGTACTGTCGCGGTTGCTGCCAGTTGAGCGTGTCGCGGGTAGATGGCGCCGAAACCGCCCACGTAATCACGCGCCATTTTCCCGCTAATTACCGGTTGTACACGTCCCCATGAAGGGGTTAGGAAGCAATACACTTGGCCACCAACACCGACAAGTTTAATAAAGAAGTTACAAAACCCTTCGCACCCTTTGTTACAAAAACGCGTCAGCCCACCGTTCCACGATATATTGAAAAGTCTACGATAAGTGCATATGCGAATGAAAACACATAAACCTGACGCGTGTCAGTGTCCTCAAAACATCGCTGCTGATACGGGCGGATAACCGAGGGTTAACTGGTATGGCCATCACGTACGTGCATGCCACGAATACTAACGTGTCAATGGTAAACTGCAATGAGCTCGCTAGCTTTCGTCGGACAGGACGGCTTTGTCGATCGAGGAAACTGTCTGGCGGAAAGACGTCAAACCAAGTGTGTATTAGTGTTTCGGCCGTTGGCGACAAGAAAGGCATGGCGTGTGAACTGCAATGATTAAAACACTGCAGTGTGTGTTTATCTTATACAAAAACCTGACCCGCCGTGAGCGCCTAGTGTGCCTGTCGCGTGGACCAAGGAGCAGCAGCATTACCGATCTCCCGCTGTCCGCGCTGTCCCGCTGTCCGCAACACAATTACGTTTCATTCAGAGCTGGTTAGGCGATGATACTAGCCAACGGATCACGTGACAGGCATGCCATGGCTTCACCAACATTGCGCGTTTAACAAGAGTTCAGCATTTCCGCGTTGTCTGCGGTCGTTGCGACCACTGTAAAGCGTTCTGGGGTCAGACCGGCTGACCTTTCACCACACATCTTGCCCCGGGCGGTGGGGCTGGCACGCGTCTGACAACATTCGCCAGCTGGCGCGCTCACACCCGCCACAGCAGCAGGTGATTGGTGGAGTCGTCTCGACCAGAGAGCTCCGAGCCGGATGACCGGAAGTCCTCGTATCCGTCGCCGCCGGAGATGACCAGCACCTTTCCGGCAGCAGCCTGGAGACGCAGCAGCTTGTCACTCGCAGCATCGGGACACGCTCAAGTTTGGGGGGGGGGGGGGGGGGGGCGACAAAGCTAGCAATGTCATCGGCCAAGTTTCATGGGCTAGTTTTCTTTTTTTCAGGGAGAACTACTTGACATTATTTTGCTTCTCAAACAGATCGCTTGTCTTAAAAGTACTCTCACTGCATTCCCCACCGCGTTCCTGAGAATATGAAGCACTAAATCGCTTGGGTTTGGTTTGGTTAGGCTGGGGGCGTGCGCAATATACGGCTGGGTCCGTGGCCGCTCCAGGCGCGGACCGGCTCACCTTGTGCGGCAGCTTGTCCTTGGCCTTGACAGCGCTCCGGGCGTGTCGGTAGCGGGCTGGTGCCGCCACCTCCACCACGGACTCGACCGATGCCAGGAAACGCACGTGGCCCGTGTGGCCGTGCGAGATCCCTGCAGGCGCCACCATACGCTGAGACATGACGATTGGATACCCGCCACTGAACAAACCCCCATAAAACGGCCGTTCTGCTGGTCTGGACGGTGCCCTACGCTGAGGAGCTCAGGAAACAGGCCAGAAATGTAGGGGGTAGCGAGTGTCAGTGACTGCGCCTGCGTGAGGTTGTCGGCACGAGCCTTCAGTGCAGCTCACTGCAGGCCTTCCTCTGGCAAACACGATCACCCCGGCGGGCACTGTCGGCGGCCGGCGTTTGCCACCGCGGCACACATGGACAGTGCGACCGAATGCTTCGAGCCGATCAGTTCGATCTCAACGCCTGCTGGAATCGATGCGAAAAGGGGCGTTGCAAACGTAAAAGGGGAGTTACAAATAATGAGCTTGCATCCCAGCATGGTTTCGCTTGGAGAGAGGGGCCGAAATAGTTCCGTAGCATACAGCTCACCGAATACCTGTTTGAGGGTTTTGATCCAGGGATACTCCTAGCGTCCTGCTCACGCCACGACCTGGCCAATCCCTCACTTCAAGCTTCAAGCTACTGTAACTGTTCAGTTAACCAGTGACAGCACCGGTCCTGTCCAAACAGGCTCGGCCGGGCGGCAGCTGACCGGCGATGCTCAGCGTGTTGGTGAGCCAGCTGGTGGAGGCCGTCAGCGGCGGCAGCGGCAGGTTCAGGATCACGCCCGCCGACGTGCCGATCCACAGCAGCTCCTTGCACACCATGAGTGCCGTGACGCGCAGGCACGCCGTCTTGTGCTGCCGGATGATGTCGTCACAGCCTGCGGGCGAGCGGTCGGGGTCAGCAGCGGTGAGCCGGCCGCCGGCCGTCACACGCCCGCTGGCGGCCGGGGCGGGCCGCATTCCGGCGTCGCAGCACGGGACGGAGCCGGACACGCGGCTCCGGACTGGCGCGCCGTCTGAATCGACGACGCGGCGTTCGCTGCAAGGTCGGTCCGGGCTCTACTTTCATTTTGATCATCCAGATGGCGCTCCTGCATGCGCTCCGAACGCAAGCATTCTGTCGTAAAGAACAACGAAATGATGGCATCGGCCGACAGATAGCGCCCTGTCAACAGCCTGACACCGGCCCTGATGAGGCCACCCGAGATGGGGCCGACACCGGCCCTGGCGAGGTCACCCGGGATGGCGCCCTGTTGGCAGCCTGACACTGGCCCTGGCGAGGTCACCCGGGATGGCGCCCTGTTGGCAGCCTGACACCGGCCCTGGCGAGGTCACCCGGGATGGCGCCCTGTTGGCAGCCTGACACCGGCCCTGGCGAGGTCGCCCGGGATGGCGCCCTGTTGGCAGCCTGACACCGGCCCTGGCGAGGTCACCCGGGATGGCGCCCTGTTGGCAGCCTGACACTGGCCCTGGCGAGGTCGCCCGGGATGGCGCCCTGTTGGCAGCCTGACACCGGCCCTGGCGAGGCCGCCCGGGATGGCGCCCTGTTGGCAGCCTGACACCGGCCCTGACGAGGCCGCCCGGTCCCGCCGGCGTGCGTGCTCACCTGACAGCATGCGGGTGACGGCCGCAGTGACGTCCACCTCGCAGATCATCTCGAACGTCATGGTGTGGAACAGCCGCACCGTGCCCAGGTTGTGGAAGCTAAGCCACACACCCAGGCCGGACGGCACCAGAGACTGGATGGTCGCCTGGCTGTCGCTGTTCACCACCACCGTTTTCTGGGTGCGCGAGGAGTTCAAGGGCAGCGTAAGCGGGGCACATACATCCGGTCGCAGCACGTCACGTCATACATCCGGTCACAGCACGTCACGTCATACATCCGGTCACAGCACGTCACGTCATACATCCGGTCGCAGCACGTCACGCGTGAAAAAAGAATAATTCATTGCACGCGGCTGGCTTGCTGGCGTTGTGAGCTTGCGCACAGAGGCACATGTCCCCTCCCTGGCCACAGGTCCTGAGGGGCCCTAAGAGCCCTTTGGGCTGGCGATCAAGGACCAGAAGGGCTGACCGAAAGTCGCATTAGAGGATCCTGGCTTACAGGGCCTGGCCCTCAAATGTCGCTTGAAACATAATCTCAAACAGTGATTGTCATCATTGAGCTGGCATCCGTCAAATAATGACTGCAGAGATGCCTCTTTGTGGACGAGGACGAGCATTTCGTCGAAACCACCTCAGAGCAGTACCATACGCTACCACCACTACCGGACACCTTTCTGTGCAGCCCTGGTGCGACTCCACGGAATCGATCGGGATTAGGGGTGGCGTTAATAGGAAGGGGTAACTGGCACCGCACACGGCACGGACTTCAGTGGGTTGATTTGATAACTATCTCCCCGAATGAAAATGAAGACTGCCGTGCCGTATCTCCTCATTCGCCCAACCTGTCACCCCTGCAGACCTCATATGGTGGTGTTACTTCACGAACCACGTCCACGTGGATGTGGTTTAAGGTTCCCTGGACAAGTCAGTAAACCTTTAAAAGCTTTAGGTTACCTTCAGACTTAATATGGGGTGCATCACAGTGGACAATCGACCGGACCACTGACTACCTGCTAAAGGTTCAGCTGTTACGCATCCTGGACCACTGTGGCGACATCTGAAGCGTGTTCTGTACCCACATTAATTGACAGATGCGGAATATCTGACTACCAGTGTCCCCGCTTGTGTTTTCCATTGAATTGACAGCTTTCCCCAGAATGTGAAGCGTGGCGGTGTTTGGCGGTGGATCGAGCATATGCGGAGCGTTGTGGTGGTTGGTGGCGGATTGGGCATATGTGGAATGTTGCGGTGGTTGGTGGCGGATTGAGCATATGTGGAACGTTGTGGTGGTTGGTGGCGGATTGAGCATATGTGGAACGTTGTGATGGTTGGTGGCGGATCGAGCATATGTGGAACGTTGTGATGGTTGGTGGCGGATTGAGCATATGTGGAACGTTGTAGTGGTTGGTGGCGGATTGAGCATATGTGGAACGTTGTAGTGGTTGGTGGTGGAAGGAGCATATGTGGAGTGTGGCGGTGGTTGGTGGCGGATTGAGCATATGTGGAACGTTGTGGTGGTTGGTGGTGGAAGGAGCATATGTGGAGTGTGGCAGTGGTTGGCGGTGGATTGAGCATATGTGGAACGTTGTGGGGGTTGGTGGTGGAATGAGCGTATGTGAATTGTGGCAGTGGTTAATGGTGGATTGAGCATATGTGAAGTGTGGCAGTGGCTGGTGGTGGATTGAGCATATGTGAGGCGTGGCGTTGGCTTCCACTGACCTCTATGACATTCGTGGCCGGGTCGATGATACGTATCCGGTTCTGCGAGCAGGCCCACAGCTTTCCTGCCACCACCACCAGCCGGTTGACTGGACTTGAGGACACCTGGATCACTTCCGGGCACTGCATGTCCCAGTTACTTCCTGGTGGACAAACACATCATTTTAAATGAGGCAGGTGCAGGAATGTATAAACATAAGAAACATAGACGCACAAGATGACATTTGTATGTTCATATGCCCGAAGTTGACATTATATCGATATACGAACAGCACTGCGTGTAGTCCGCCACTAGCAACGATTCGTTACACATTGGTGGTCCAGTTCTCAACCTTTGATAGGACCAGACCCGATTCTTTCGCTTCAGTGCACGGCAAAACCAGAAAACGGCGATATTTTCACCGTCTTAGGGGCCATGAGCACGTTACTCTCCCCCTCGAATCTGCCAGTGTCGTATAGACTAATACATGCTTGCCATCAAATCCCCGGTGCCATGAACGTAATGGTTGAGCGGTTAGCGCCTTCCGCTCCCACGGGGGCGCACTGGGCTCAAACCCCGCTGGCAACATGACCCCTGAGCGCGAAATAGCCTCTGCAGTCGCTGACACTCCATAAGAGGATGCGGGACAACGCGCGTTGCATTCCTTTAAAAGGTCGCTTGTGCCCGTCTGCATCATCTGAGGAAAGCGCGATCCTACTTTGCAAGGCACAAATGGCCTCTGCGACATCCTGCGAAACGCCCTGGCGATTCTTACCTAAAGCGCGGCTCTGAGCGAAGCTCCACGGAGCTTCTCACCTGCGAGGCGGGGGTGGGCGGACCTCCCGGCGCTTCTCACCTTCGGTGCGTCTATAGGCAGACACAGTGCCGTTGGCGAGCGCCACGAAGACGCGGCCGTCCAGATGGACGATGGCGTGCGCTGCCGAGCCCAGCTGCACCTTTACTTTGGTCTTCTTAATGCGCACGTAGTCGGCACAGTTGTAGACGTACACGCAGCCGTCCTCGGTGCCGAGCCACATGGTGGGCTGGTCCTGGAGGCGGGCCTCATCAGCAGCCGACCGACCCTCGTCCGGCCGGGAGTCGTCCGAGTCGGACGAGTCGGTCGAGCTGCGGCACAGAGGCAGGGACGCCGTCACGGTCGGCACGGAGGCGGGGACGCCGTCACGGTCGGCACGGAGGCGGGGACGCCGTCACGGTCGGCACGGAGGCGGGGACGCCGTCACGGTCGGCACGGAGGCGAGGATGTCGTCACGGTCGGCACGGAGGCCGGGACGCGGGCACGGTCGGCACGGAGGCTGGGATGCCGTCACGGTCGGCACGGAGGCAGGGATGCCGTCACGGTCGGCACGGAGGCGGGGATGCCGTCACGGTCGGCACGGAGGCGGGGATGTCGTCACGGTCGGCACGGAGGCGGGGACGCCGTCACGGTCGGCACGGAGGCGGGGACGCCGTCACGGTCGGCACGGAGGCGGGGATGCCGTCACGGTCGGCACGGAGGCGGGGATGCCGTCACGGTCGGCACGGAGGCGAGGATGTCGTCACGGTCGGCACGGAGGCGGGGATGCCGTCACGGTCGGCACGGAGGCAGGGACGCCGTCACAGTCGACACGGAGGCAGGGATTCCGTCACGGTCGGCACGGAGGCGGGGATGCCGTCACGGTCGGCACGGAGGCGGGGGATGCCGTCACGGTCGGCACGGAGGCGGGGACGCCGTCACGGTCGGCACGTAGGCGGGGATGCCGTCACGGTCGGCACGTAGGCGGGGACGCCGTCACGGTCGGCACGGAGGCGGGGATGCCGTCACGGTCGGCACGGAGGCGGGGAAGCCGTCACGGTCGGCACGGAGGCGAGGATGCCGTCACGGTCGGCACGGAGGCGGGGACGCCGTCACGGTCGGCACGGAGGCGGGGATGCCGTCACGGTCGGCACGGAGGCGGGGATGCCGTCACGGTCGGCACGGAGGCGGGGATGCCGTCACGGTCGGCACGGAGGCGGGGACGCTGTCACGGTCGGCACGGAGGCGAGGATGCCGTCACGGTCGGCACGGAGGCGGGGATGCCGTCACGGTCGGCACGGAGGCGGGGATGCCGTCACGGTCGGCACGGAGGCGGGGACGCTGTCACGGTCGGCACGGAGGCGGGGATGCCGTCACGGTCGGCACGGAGGCGGGGATGCCGTCACGGTCGGCACGGAGGCGGGGATGCCGTCACGGTCGGCACGGAGGCGGGGACGCCGTCACGGTCGGTATGCGCTAAGTGAGAGGGTGCGTGTTGCGTTGTTAAGGTGGAGGAAAACGCCATCGCTTGTGCATACCGCTATAATTGTGAGGAGAAGAAGCGTGCTTTGTTGTGCTCTGCCACGAATTTTCTCATAGTGCGTCATCCCTCTTTTTATTTCAATGGTTTTGTGAGTTCCTTAATGTGCTGGCTTCGTGTGAAAAACGCTGTTCTGGTTTGCAAGCGGCCTCTGCATCGTCGCCCTCAGAGCACGCGGCCGAAAACTGCTCCAACTAAACGCTGTGTTTTCCTGCCAGTAATCAGCTCACATGGGCCTCGCTTCGTCAGATTGACACAAACTGCGCAAGGGAATTACATAGCAACTTAGGGGCGCTAAGCACTTCAGAAAAAGGGCATTGGCAAAAGGTATACCTTATGTTATAAGTACCTAGTACCTGGTAGTTATAAGTACCTAGATATAGTATCTGTCGGGGCGAAAATTGCGGGTAAGTTTTCCGCCAGCCCACTGTACGAACACCAAAGTCGTGGGCTGAGCGTCGGATCCTTCACAGCGGCTACATAGTGAACGTCGCCGGGGAATGCACCGCTACGCCAGATCGAAGCTCACTTCTGGACTGGGCTGGATGTCAGTGTGTAAGATTGCCCCCCCCCCCCCCCCACTGGAGCCAGCCGCACCTGTCCAGGTCGATATTGGTGCCAGCCTTCTCTTCCAGGCTCGCAGTCTGGGCGGAGGCATCAGGGACCGGCGACACCCCAGCGCGCGCCTCCGATTCGCTCTGCCTGTGGGGACGAGAGCGTCGCGGTTAGCTCGCCTCTGATTCTCTCTGCCTGTGGGGACGAGAGCGTCTCGGTTAGCTCGCCTCTGATTCTTTCTGCCTGCGGGGACGAGAGCGTCTCGGTTAGGTCGCCTCTGATTCTCTCTGCCTGTCGGGACGGGAGCGTCTTGGTTAGTTCGCCTCTGATTCTCTCTGCCTGTGGGGACGGGAGCGTCTCGGTTAGGTCGCCTCTGATTCTCTCTGCCTGTGGGGACGAGAGCGTCTCGGTTAGGTCGCCTCTGATTCTCTCTGCCTGTGGGGACGAGAGCGTCTCGGTTAGCTCGCCTCTGATTCTTTCTGCCTGCGGGGACGGGAGCGTCTCGGTTAGCTCGCCTCTGATTCTCTCTGCCTGTCGGGACGAGAGCGTCTCGGTTAGGTCGCCTCTGATTCTCTCTGCCTGTGGGGACGAGAGCGTCTCGGTTAGGTCGCCTCTGATTCTCTCTGCCTGTGGGGACGGGAGCGTCTCGGTTAGCTCGCCTCTGATTCTCTCTATCCGTCGGGACGAGAGCGTTTTGTTTATCTTGCCTCTGATTCTCTCTGCCTGTGGGGACGGAGGGCGTCTCGTTTAGCTCGACTTCGATCCTACCTGTGGGGACAGGCAGCAAGCTCAATCCGCTGTGCCTGCGGCGGAGCACCTCGGTCAGGTCGCACTTAACTAGTGCGGATTTCAATACGCCCGGTCTGAGGCAGGGGCGTGAGTCCGTTCATGTCAGCCTATCTCTGCCATTGTATTTGCAAAGCCCCCTTGCAAGAGGAAAAACATCGTACGCTGGCAGTTCATGGTATTACGGTCGATCGTAGAACAGTATCCACAGCATATATAAATATTCATCTGCAAAAAATGATCTAACGAGCAGCTTTAAAAGCAATGCGAGACTAGACATCAGGCCAGCTGCATGGTGATGATAATGCTGGGCTCTGGTAACTAGCCTCCATGCCATCCATGACCGCGTGTCATGTCAGGACATTCCTGATGCCTGCAGCGCTCACCTGGCCGGCGCACTGGGCACGGGCGCTATGCAGAGGATGCGTGAGTTGCACACGCCGTTGCAGGAGGTAACGGTGGGCTCAGGTCGCAGGCTCAGTACGCAGATCTGGCCGACGTAGCCGTCACTGTAGCACGGAGCGTCCGGTCAGAGGAGGCCGGCCCCAGCGGCCGTAACATCGGCTCAGCGGCGCCGCCGTCTGTCTGACCTGCCTCTCACCACGGTGAGAAGCAGCGACGCGCCGTGACTACGCGCCATTTACCAGGGGAGAAGTGTCACGTGACACATGGTGGGCGCGCAAATCAGCCGCGACGCCTCGCGCAAGGCACATCACGCTTGTGAACCAGCGACGCACCGCTGCAGTCAGCCAAAGCTGCTCCATCCCCAGCCCCCCCCCCCCCCACACACACACGCGGCCGAGCTCCCCAACCTGGCAGCGAGTCACCCCGACTAAAACGGCATGCTCATGTCATTCCATGGCATAGAAGCAGCAAACAAAACTGCACGGGAAATTTGTGTTTTGTGTATTGATTGTTTGCCAGTTACAGACTGCCTTCAGCTGCATAGCTCACAAAAACCCGCAAGCATAAAATGTGGACACATAAGGATACATAATCTAAAATATCTACCATAAAAAATACAACATTTAATAGTTGTCACTGGTACCCGCGCATAGCTGGCAGTGTAAGCTGATATGCGTATTGTGGGACAGTTTCCACAACAGATATCAAGATCACTGAGCATGGTGGTCCTGCGGTGCTATCGGTGTGGTGGTCCTGCGTGGCGGTCATACGTGCAAGGAAAAACGCCCAATGAGCTGCGCAAGCCGGCCGGTGACCCAAATCTGGTGGTAAAATGGCGCTGAGGGGACCGGTCGTGTGACCGAACCCCGTCCGAGTCATCTTCCCAACATATTTGTCAAAACTGTGCTTATGACGCGTTATGATGTATTATCAGCAAGTTTTGATGCATCACCACCATTACCTAATGATAATGTTAAGGGGTCCAAAGCACGAGCACCCCATCTGCCGGAATGGCCGCTCCAGAGAATGTCCACTTGGAGTGTGGAACGGTCCGATTTAGCCTGGGTGTGGATTTTCGCGTGAAATGCCCGACTCCGCCGCCGTCCGGGTCACATTCCATATGGTTCACTGTCAGCCAGCGGACTGCGCGCCAAACATAACAGCGACCGTGCATAATGGTATAACCACATATCCCTCCGTGCCAGCATAATAGTGAACAGATCGACTGGGCAGGGGTGTAGTTCTGCGAAATCAGCTGGGGCTCTGTCTTGGGTTCATCTAGTTATGTTGCGACCAAATGCTCTTTCCCCATAGGATTTGAATGATGGTACTTTCTTTTATTTTTGGTATAGCCTTGTTTATCGTAAGCATGTGGACTGATGACGCAGGCTCTTTGTGAGGCGGGAAGGGGAACTGAGCTGCGAGTTGAACGTGGTCGAGCTCCTCCAGCACGATGGTGTAGCACAGCCGCACAGGTATCCGAGTCGCCCGGCCTCTGGGACAGGGAGCCAGCCGGCCCTCGCGCCGCAGCCTGTCCCGGCGGCCGCTCACCTGTTGCAGACCCAGACGTCGCTGCGGTGCTGCGGGCTGGCGCTGAGTGTGGCCGCAGCGCACGTGAACTGCAGGCCGGCCCGGGTCTTGCGGATCGGCAGCGGGTACAGGAATTCAGGCACGGCCCGCCGGTCGGCCGACAGCGCTGCGGCGCAGGCGTCACGCCCGCTCAGCGCCCGGGCGAGGGCCGGCGGCAGACACGCGCGACATCCCGCAGGCTTGTGGTCCGACGCCACTGACACGGCCAACGCGCAAGGGAACCACATGTACTAAACCATTTAGTGCTGGTCAGGCCTCGCCCCGAGCGGCCACTGCAGCGAACGTGTCTACGGCGTGTAGGTGATCGCTTTGTATTATTGGGGCATTGCCTTTACCCAAATAAAGGCTGAAAGATCGTTCGGAAGAACCAAAGCCCAGATACTTTTACGCTTCGGGGCTGCGCAAGCAGCTTTGCTCAAATATCGTCTGCACTAGCGCAATGCTTATTTTGTAGTACATCTTGTCCCTAAAACACATTAAATCCACCAGTGAGCAATGCTCAGAGCAGAAAGGTATGGGTGTCATGGATATGCATTTCTTTTATGCACAGCTCACATTCATCTGACCACATGCCAATCATACATGATGCATGTCAAGGTGCCGCGAATTCCAAGACAGAAGGCCAGAAACGACAATAGCTCATAGTTACCTAGTTTCTGCTTAGTCTCGTTGAAGATCTGCTCCCAAGCCGTTCGTTTTTCCACTTCAAAGAAGTTCATCGAGATGTTTTCAATCCCCTCCCTGAAATAAAGGATGCAGCCGTATGAATTTGCCGTGCCTCCTCACACTCCCTCCGAGCTTCGGCGCTGGGTCACCGGGCGAGAATGTGTCTGCTACAGCAGCCACCGACTGGCATCCACCTAATCCGAAAAAAATATAACCCAGTGGCGTATGATGTCCGTAAAGTTGGCGATTTGCCCAGCAATTCACTCAGCGACGAGTTCCGATTTCTCTCGAAAAGGTCGCAAGATGGTATATGGTATGAGATCATCGAAAAATGACCTTTATTTTGTAATAGCATGCAACCTTCGAGGTTAAGAGCTAGGTCAAAGGACGAGTAACTCGATATTACCAAAAAAAACCGGTCCACTTGTAAACTGCAAGCATCAAAATATTCACAAGGGCAAGAGCTAGCGCACATAAAGAAGTCCTGACCTCTCAAAGTGATTCTTCAAGGTCAGACACAGACTCAAGGGACGGGGAACTCCATTTCATTCAAAAATTAGCTGCCAATTTTGATCTTGTAAACATCAGAATATTCAATGCGGAAAGACCTAGAGTTCGTCAAAAATCCTCACCCCTCAAGATCATCCTTCGAGGTCAAACGCAAGCAGAAAAGATGGGAAACACAATATCACCCAAAAGATACCGGCCGAATTTAGACTGGAAAATATCGAAATATTCAACACAAAAGAACTAGCGCCCGTCAAAAAGTTCTGACCTCTCAAGGTCAACCTTCAACGTCAAACGTGGGCCCAAAGGATAGGGAATTCCATACCATCCAAAAATTACCGGCCGAATTTAGTCTTTCAAATATAAGAATATCCACCACAGAAAAAACTAACGTCCGTAAAAGGTCCTGACCTTTCAAGGTCATCCTTCAAGGTAGCACGTAGGCTCAAAGGACTAGGAACTCAATACCACTCAAAAATTACCGTCGAATTTCGAATTCGCAAACAACAGAATCTAAAAAAACAACTAGTGACCGTCCGAAAGTCCTGACCCCTCAAGGTCACCCTTAAAGGTCAAACACGGGCCCAAAGAACAGAGAACTCAATATCACCCAAACATTACCGGCTGATTTCAAACATGCAAATATGAGAATATTCACCGCAAAAAATAACATCCGTCATAAGGTCCTGACCTCCTAAGGTCATCTTTTTAAGGTCAAACGCGTACTCCAAGGATGCGGAACTTAAGGTTACCCAAAAGTGAAGGGCCGACTTTAAGCTTGCAAACGTCAGAAAAATCAACAAAAAAGGAACTAGCGTCCGTCAAAAAGCCCTGAATTCTCAAGGTTACTATTCAAGGTCAAACGCGGGCTCAAAGGACGGAGAGCTCAATGTCACCTAAAAAATACCGGCCGACTTTAAACATGAAAACATAAAAAGATATTTACAAGTTGAATAGCTGATGTCCGTCAAAAATCCTCACCTCTCAAGGTCATCTGTCAAGGTTAAACCTAGGCTTAAGGGACGGTAACTCAACATCTCCCAAAAAGTACTGGCCGATTTTTAACACGCAAATATCAGAATATTCCACACAGAAACAATCAGCGTCCGTTAAAAAGTCCTGCATTCTCAAGGTCACCTTTGAATGTCAAAGCGGGCCCAAATGGCGGAGAGCTTCATATCACCTAAAAATTACCGGCCAATTTTAAACTTGCCAGGACCAAAACATTGACTATTACAAGGACTAGCGTCTGTCAAAAAGTCCTGACCTCCCAAGATCACCCTCGAAGCTCAAACGCGGGCTCAACGGACGGGGATCAGTTTGACGGACACTAGTTCTTTCTGTGGTGAATATTCTGGTGTTTGCAAGTTTAGAATCGGCCGGTAATTTTTAGGTGATTTTGAATTTCCTGTCCTTTGAGCCCGTGTCTGACCTTAAAGGGTGAGCTTGAGAAGTCAACACTTTTTGATAGACACAAGTCCTTTCTGTAGACAAGACAGTAGTATTTTCGATAAAGGCGCGTTGCCGAAATACCAACTGAACTATGCCTCCATTCTCCCGGTTTTTCCGAGGAAAAAGGCTAATACTTCTGTCTTGTCTATGTGAATAATGTTCCTCGCTAATGTACTGAACAACTAGTCCTTTCCGTAGTGAACATTTTGGTTCCGGGGGTTTAAAAATGGCGGACGATTTTTGGGTGATATGGAGTTCCCGTCCTTTGAGCTCGCGTTTGACCTTGAAGGATGACCTTGAGAGGTCAGGACTTTTGACGGACACTAGCTCTTGCTCTTGTGAATACTTTGATGCTTGCAGTTTGCAAATCGGCCGGTAATTTTTTGGTGATTTCGAGTTCCCCGTCTTTTGGCCCAGCTCTTGGCCTCGAAGATCACGTGATATTGCAAAATAAAAGTCATTTCGATGTTCTCGTGCCAAAATTCTCTTAAGACCTTTTTCAGAGAAATCGAAACCCGTTGTTGAATAATCGCTGAATAAATCACTAACTTGACGGACATTGGCGATGAACATACGCCGCAGCTACTAACACCTGGCGTCTCACATGTGTAAGTCTGTGAGTACCACGTACGTTTGGACGTTTGGTGATGAACAGTGATGTATAATCGGAGCACTGCATGACAAGTTGCGTTGACTTCGATTGCTGAACAGGCTACGGGCGTGCAACAAGTGATGAGGATGCATTCGCAGGTACTAGGTGTGCAAAACCATCGCGTCAAATACATCGCCTCCAAGCACGTCTACGGCATTTCACGCTGTACCTATACCAGTGACGTCATTCGGAGAGCAGCTATTGTGCGGCATCCTGAGACCAGCCCGCCACTCACTGGGTGGCCACGTTGAGCTGCAATAGCATCAGCTGGCTATCCGCGCGGTGTCGCTCAGACAGCTGCTTATTTAGCACGTTCGCCATCTCCTTCACAAGCTCCTCCACCTATCAGAAACGGCATGGTGTTAATCATGCGACGATTCAAACGGGCCTAGGTATACCCTACACACGCATTTACTGCGGATCAGTATCACATTTACAAGCTACTGCAATTATTTTACGCACCACACCCCAAAACGCATTACCTGAAGAGCACATTAAATCACAGGCATCGGATCAGCTTGCCGGGCGGGACCGGAGCCCGTAACATAGGGTACGAAACTTTCCACTTAAAGGAACTGTTCCACATCCGAAAATATTAAAGCAAGCATAACATGCAATGAAATAAACTCCCGCATCACTATTGGTATACTTTTAAGTGGAAAAGACTGCTCTAGGCAGCACAAGTCATCCACTTAGTGAACATGCTCAATAACATTTTTTATTGGCCTTGATTGCCGCATCACCAGTGGAATGACAGGATTCTAATAACGTCATTATGACGTCATGGATGCCTTGGTGACTTTGAAATAGTCCGCACAAGACAGTCTGCACATCTTTGCAGGCGTGCACTAAAACACTAGCGGGGTTAAGGCCTTAAGAAGGACAGGAATGTAAATTACACCAATGACCTCTAAGATGTCATTTCAGTTTACCCCCCCCCCCCCCCCCCCTATTATGTCGCATGACTGTCACATACCGCATGCCTCCGTGGTTTGCCGTATGTGCTGCCAACGTTGTGAAGCATATGTTTTGTCTTTTTTAGGGGTTCTGTGAACTTTTTGATCACAGCCGGTTGCCGTTGGCTGCGTCCTCTCCCACTACCCCACCTGATAGTGATTACAGTGCAGTTTGCAGACCATCACCCCGATCTGACGCAGGGTTGCAATGTCCTCTTCAATCTTTTCTACCTCCTTCAGAAGCGAACTCAGATTCTCGTCTTTGGCTGCGAAGAAGTATAGCACATAGTAACACACCACGCAATCCCAACACCGGCGGTGGTAAAACGGAGGTACCCGCCTCACTTTGATTTGGCCGATGAGAGAATACCGCGTTAGCTACTATTGCTACAATTCGGCATCAAGGTAGATCACCATGCCGCATAAGAGGTCAAGCAGATGTCGCACATTGGCCAAATCGTGTCAGTTGGACGTATTGATTGACCCCTTCCCCCCCCCCCCCCCCACCCCGCTCCCGTCCCTAAAAATGTTTCATCTTATTCAGTAACATACCGATAAAAGCGAGCTGCACAATGATGTCACTTTTAGGGCAAAATCTGACAGCGGGCCACACTAAACTGTACTCGGGAAAACAGACTCGAGCGGAAAGTGGGAATGAGCTTTCCCCCTTTTCGACATTATTCACAGGACAGTTGCTGCATGCCGCCAGGCTGACTTACAGCGCTCAACATTCAGATCGACCAGACTTACAGCGCGCGGCTTAGATCGGCCAGACTTACAACGCTGAACATTCTGATCGGCCAGACCTACAGCGCGCAATGCTTGGATTGGCCAGACCTACAGCGCCCAATGTTCAAATCGGCCAGACTTACAGCGTGCAATGTTCAGATCGGCCAGACTTACAGCGCGCAATGTTCAGATCGGCCAGAGGAATCTTCATGAGCAGTTTGTACTTGTTGGCCTCCAGGCCCGTGACCGAGCCGTCAGCCAGTGCTCTGGAATAGGTCACGGTCAGTCTCAGACCCAGCTCCGATGGCTGAGGCGGGGCTGGCGCCCGGCTGCCCCGCCTGAACTGTGTCCTGAACATGTGTCGCAGCAGAGCGGCAGAAGAGGCTCCAGGCAGGCCAAGCGGCGATATGCATATGCCTCGTTCGGTCTTTTTCTCGACATTCGTGTATTTTGCCACTGGATGCAAAATCTGCTATAAAGAGCAACGCATCGCTTTTAAGAGAGTTTCGTAACAACGTTGAGCAACCTTAAAACTGCGGTAACGAACGTCCGAATGTGGAATCCTACAGGGTGACAGTTTGGTTGTGCTATTCGGCGTCCGCTTACGTGGAGGGCTTGCGGGTGGCTCCCGCCCGCCGCTTGATGCTGGCGATCACAAGCAGATCGTTGAAGAGAAAGAGGCAGCGCTCCTTCTTGGTGCCCAGAGTAGTCGTCATGGTCACCTGGTCGTGACGAATCAATATCCTACAGGTGATGTGGGGAAATACAACATGTCACAAACAGGGATACGGGAACGATTTCAAAGTTGACGGGCGAACGGGAATGGCCTGATTAACTCCACCCCCCTCACACTTCCATTACTGCATCTCTCTACTTTTATGTTTTAACCTGTTGAAAAAGTCACTTGTTGTTTAGGAATAGTTGTCATCTACGTGCCATGCTGCGAGAGGCGGCGAAATATGTACCATACTTTTGGATTTATTTTCTTTTGTGCGTAACATTTTGGTAAGAGATGTCTGATACTGCTCTTCATTTGCACATTGCGATATTACCTGACGACCTATTTATGATGATCGGGGAAAGCATACATTATCAACATGCCGCAACATCCACACTCTGTGACCCATGTCGTCCGCTTTTACGATCATGATACCGAAATAAAAAAAAAAATAGGCCGGAAGTGCCCAAAGTCTCTAATTGCCCACATTTTTTAAATTGAAGCCGATCATTAGTGGACAGTCATGTAGGGCTTCGGTCGTCAGTTGCTGCACCTGAATTTGACTGCTGTGATAAGCACGCAATATTTTCCCTTCCGGCGTTAGAGTTCACCACTGAGATAATCGGTATGGCATTTCATCGCAACATTTCCCCTCCTAACTGCTTGCAGCTTTCAGTCGTTACAGTCAACCACAGCTCGCATTTTTTCAGCTCAGATAATTCAAAATGACCTGCTTATCTTGAAGCGACGTCCGAAAAGTGTCACATTTCGAAGTGCAACTTTAAAACGCGCCCTGGCGGCCGGCTAGATACCCTTCGCTAGGTATCTAGATACCTAGATAACCCAGAACGTAGATAACCGTTTCTAGGCAAAAGGTCACATTCTCATTCGGGGTCAGTGACCTTTTGAAGGTCAAGGTGACCAAAATCATACAGGATTGCTTTGAGTTTTGCATTTGACTAAGCGACAAAGATTACGCTAGGCAGTATGTTCCTAAGACAAAATGTTGACCTAGTTCATTCATTTTAGGTCAATGACCTATTCTGACCTCTAAGAAGTCCATGAAAGATGTATAATGCGGTTCCTGCTATCAATAAACTCAAAATGAGCTCCAGAAACTATCCCACACAGAAAACCCTAGACTAACCAAACAGTTTGGTTTTGCCCTTGGCGTGGCCTTCATACCTGACCTTAGATCCATGTAATTTTCATTCAGCTGCTGTGTTGCCTAAGAAAGCATCTCAGAGATGTATGGCTTCGTCTAACACTCCGTTTTGGATCAGATTAAATGATTCCATAGAAATTGCCTTCGCTGAAACCATGGTCTGATTTTGACCTGCTATAGGTCAGCGACTTTACAAGGTAAATATAAATTTGTGATGCCAAACGATCTGCTATTTAATTGTCTACAGGTATGCAAAATTTGGTCCGGTTACGCCGCGCCGTTCGGAAACCATTTTGGAAAAACCTTTGGGGGGGGGGGGGTCAATTTGACCTCCCATCGGAGCACGTGTTAAGCCTCTCAGCAAGGCAAGAATAAAAGTGCATCAACGCTGCAACAAAACTGCGCATGTTTCTTGACATTGGTTAGATGCGGGCTTGACTGAACATATACAAAAATCTGAAATTTTGCACAAAGCGGACCATTTTTCTATTTGACTTTGAAGCAGACAGCAGAGGTTGCATATTCACATGAAGTTTTATCTTCAAATGACTAGGATAATGTTCCGCAACGCTGCTCAGCATATCTATTGTCCATCTGTAATTGTGACACCCATGCTGAGTCTGCATCGCTAGGTTTGCATTCGTAACATGGTTCAAATTTCACCAAGTTTTGCACGCCTTCAATGAAGTCAAAACAAGCAGCACAGTACTTGCGAATTCCTGTTCTACTCAATGATTGAGACGAAGTATTAGTGTCACCGACGGAGCCATTGTTCCGGCTGTTGACCTCGTCTGACGTGTTAGTATGTACACAACATGCTCGGTCCTGCTCGGTCCTGCTCACGTCCTGCTCGGTCAGCTTAATGATAGAAGGCTGGAATGGTAATGAGAAGTCCCTGGTTCAAACCCCGTCAATCCCAAGGAGAGAGGTCCTTTCCGGTACTCAACAGCATCTGAAGACGGCCGGAGAATTGACGGAACAAATTGCATTACGCTAAAACACCAGACGAAGACGACGTTCCGAATAATTATTCCATCGGTAATCACTTGTTGCCATTGTGATGAAACACAGCTCGAACATTTTTGGTGCATTAAATGCACTTGTTCTTCGGTTTTACTGCCCTACAATATATGACATCCAGTCTCAGAGCATGCTTATCCTCGCCGCTTTCAATTAACACCATCACCAATATTCGTATCACTCGATGTGACTAGGATCGTCACGATTTAGGGGTCATACGGAAGTCATCGCTTTCACTTGTTCAGTCACTAATAATGCGATTTGCTGGCGGCATTGTCGCACATAACGACAACAAATTAAGTATTAATTAACATTAACATTGTCATGCCTGAGTTTGATGATAACTGGCAGCCAGTTTTAGCTTATTTTGCCACGTCACCTGCGAAATACGTGGCCTTTTGCGGACGTTATGTCAATATATGATGACTGTTACCACTATGAACTGCCGGACGCCACTAGAACAGTCTCATCTCTCGGGCGTCAAATCCATCCTATCATGTCCCTGTCCCGTCAAACATCACTAGACTGTCCCCTCCTGCCGCACGTCACCAATCCGCCCTGTGCCTCACCTGTCAGGCATTACCAGACTGTCCCCCTCCTGCCGCACGTCACCAATCCGTACTGTTGCCTCACCTGTCAGGCATTACCAGACTGTCCCCTCCTGCCAGACGTCACCAGGCCGTACCGTCCCTCACCTATCGGGCATCACCGGACTCCCCTCCTGCCAGACGTCACCAGGCCGTACTGTGCCTCACCTGTCAGGCATCACCAGACTATCTCCTCCTGCCAGACGTCACCAACCCGTCCTTTGCCTCACCTGCCAGGGGTGGGGGGCTGTAAGACTGTCAGGCATTACCAGACTGTCCCCTCCTGCCAGACGTCACCAGGCCGTACTGTCCCTCACCTATCGGGCATCACCAGACCGTCCAGCCCGTCCACGGCCGCCTCCACCTCGCGCAGCATCTGCTGTAGTGCCTCGTTCTGCATGGTCTCCTGCTCCAGGCTGTTGATGCGCGAGGCCAGCTGGTGGACCTCGCTGAGCGCCGAGCGCAGCGCGCCCAGGTCCGGATGTTCGGGTGGTGTGTGATTCACCAGTTGCTGCCGGCGGAGTAGTGCGGGCATGGCAGCATAAAACTGCATAATACGCAGCACAAACACCGGCTGAATGGCAGCCGGAAGTGCGGAAACCTTGTTCCAGGCGTGATGTTGAGAAATTGATTCGTTTTTGAAACTTGTAAAGATATGCATAGGGGCACTTAAAGCTGGTCATAGCAAAAGTTTCCAGGGCTTGCTGGTCCTAGCAGGAATCTGGCAGGAAGCAGTTTTACGGTAACTGGCGTCTTATCTCACCTTGAGTAGGAGCTCGTACCGGGGTATCCTCTGCACGGGCATGATGAGAAGGTGGGTGAAGCTGAGCTTCCGTTTGTTGAGCGCTCCAAGCTCTGTCGGAATTGGTGACAGCTGTCTAAGTCATGTGAACACTTGAGAAAAGAAAAAAACGTTGGCAAGATCACGCGCAGTGACGGGGTTCCACGACAACCAAATCGACGCTGTCTAAAAGCAGCCAACAAATGAAATAGCGACATCTGTACAATCTGTGTAAGATTTTTTAAGTGAACACGTTCCACGCCGTTGCACACCCTTTTATGAAGCGCTAACGGCTGAAGTGGTCATAACAGCGTTGATAAGCCCTGGCACATCTGAGGTTCGAGCCCGGGCCCTTCATGTGGAAGCCAAAGCGATAACCAACGGCCCATTACGTTCCCTCTTTCTCTCTGCTCTCTCTCTCTCTCTCCCCTCTCTCTCTCTCTCTCTCTCTCCCCCCCCCTCTCTCCCCCTCTCTTTTTCTCTCTTTTTGAGTGCGATAATATGTGGATATCGCCATTTTATTTTTTTCAGCCACTTGTGTAAAGAGGCCCAACATGCCTGCTTTCGTCCGTCTGTCTGTTTGCCCGTTTTACCTTTAATGTACCTGCTGGTGAACAACTGTGTGACACGGGACGGGAATTTTCCACACGGTTCGCATGCGCATGGGACAGTTTGCGGTGTCGAGTGGCGGGTGGGCACGTGAATGTGGACATGACACGGGCACGAAAGCTCGTCTTCAGGCCCATTTGAGTACCATCAGTTTTAAATCGGTCATTCAATCTCATAGATTGTAGCCCATATGGAGAGCTATCCTGCATCGGAAACATCAAGTCAAAATCGAATATCGATTGATTTTCACCCCAAGTCCATGCTGATCAAAAACGCAGCCACTGGTTCACAGCCGAGAGAGCTGGAACCGTATGCTGTACGCATCTCGTGAAACAGGATTTCACACATGGCAGCCGCAAATAAAGTTCGGGATCCAATTTCTCTCTGTCCATCTGTATGTGATGTACAAGCTTCCGAGCGCGCTGCGCTCAGGTGTGCCGACGGATTGGGGCACGAGTGACACCATGTGACCGGCAGAAAGCCTGTGGTGCCGGTCTTGAACCGATCGGTGGCGCGTGGACGTGCAATCAGCCGGACCTCTGCAGAATTCACGTGAGCCAGGGTACGAGCCAAACGGAGGGTGTTGTCAGCTCAAGGCCGCTGGCAGTATGGACCTCATTATGGGGTACGTACTTCTGTGGCCGACGATTAACAGCATGCCTGCAGGCGCGTGCAAATATTTGTACTCAAGGTTTTCGGAGTGCCGGAAACCATGAGCAAACCGACACAAGTTCCCTGAATGGAGACCGCTGTCGGGGCTATCCAACGATATCCAAATCTTGTTTCCGTACCACGATGTTCACGCAGTGCGCGTGCTCAGCTTTTGTGACCGTTTTCATTGGGCCCCAATCGCAGCAGCTCTCACGGCAGTGTCAGGCGTGGCGATGGGCTTCTTACACAGGCAGGTAGCTGGGTGATGTATTTGGGGCGAATCCAGCCGGTAAAGGTATGCACCCCGCGCGTGGGGCGCGACCAAACACTGACAATCATCTACCATTGTCGCCAGTCTTTCACGAAGTCGGCAGGGATAAAGGTCGAAGGATAAGTCGACAAGGATAAAAGTTGACAAGGTTAGAAGTCGATTCGGAAAAGTCGAAAGCGATAAACATCGGCAGTGATAAATATTTAAAACACGTCAAACGGAAAAAAAATTGGTGGGAACAAGACTCAACCAGAAAAGTCGCGGGGATAAAAGTCGACAGTGATAAAACTCAGATGACAAAACATCTCAGTTGATACGAATTGCCATAGATAAACGATGATTTGGATAACAGCAAACAAGTCGGCAGGCAAGAAGATTTAAGCCGGAAGAGTCCTAATGATTTGACGCCTGCCATGAAAGGGGATGTTGCTGACCGCGCCCTGATACGCCGTCGGATTCAATGGGCTTCAGGGCCTGGCGTCCCTGAGGCCTCGGATTCGGGCCCGCCCACGCTCGCCTGGCAAACACTCCTGGCAGGAAGCCAGCCTTCGAGCCTTTGGACCGAACGATACTCAACGCACCTTAAAGCAACCAGGTGGCCGATCTACTGTGGGCACCCAGCTAGGCTCTGTCTATGGGCATCCAGCTAGCCTCCTCACATGCTCATCGAAATTCCCGCTGTGACCATTTTCTTACACATTCAGGAACAAGACGGGCGCCCACGGCGGGATGCTGAGCACGGCGGCGGCGCCTGTGGCCAATGCCATTTTTTTGTTAACCTTGTTGCTGGACAGACACGTGCCGGCCTCTCAATGTTCGTTCGTGGTTCTCACTTCCCCTTCTGGAAACGAGATCTTGAATCCTCGGCTCCGCAAGGCTGTTTAATACCCTAGTTCCCGGATTCTGTCCGTTGTTTTGCAAGCACAGCACTTTGTTTCATGGTCCTCACTGTTTTATTCCGCAGATAAAAGATAGGTTCCCCACTCCAGCTGGTTTCTTAACAAGCACCAAAGCCTAGTTCCTGGTTCCCATTGACTTTGCACATGTACCAGACCTTGGTTGTCTGATCCTTACAAGCTTTTTAACAAACACCAGGGCCTTGTTCAAGATTCCCGCCGGTGTTTTGGTCTCCACTTGTGCAGTGTTTTATAATACGTTATCCTTGTCGATTTTAATTCCTTTGGCTGTTTCGCTACCCAAATGTACCCTGTCGGGTTCCTTTCGTTTCGTCTGTTTCCGATTCGACCTGCATCCATGGAGACTTCAATTCCTTTTGACATTTCGTCCTTCAACTTTTTCCGTTTTTGTTCATTACCTATTAGTGCCAATGAGCTGAACAACATGTGACCAGATTTAGTTGTTTTTAGCCATCTGGCGTTCCATCCAGGAGCGTTCGAGCTGTTTTTGAAAACTGTACCCGGCTGTTCCGCTCCGCCAGCGCGTTAATCCCACGCTCGGTCCACGCGGCTCTGTATTTGGGAGCGAACATGTGTCTGCGACATGGCTGTAAACTCTGATGCCGGGCAAGTGGCCCATATAGCTGGCTGGAAAGGGCCAACCGAGCTGTGCGCGTCGTCGGTGACCGGCGCCAAGCCACCGCACGCGCCCCTGAGCCAGGGCCCTCACCTCCAGAAACTTGGCCAGTCCGGGCTTAAGTTGACAGGCGCGCCGCAGCGCCTCCCGCGCTGTGGGCCAGTTGTTGACGAACGCCGTGTACGTGTCCAGCACAACCGGTGCTGTTAGCTGAAACAGACCCAGCCCACGACCCGTCACAGCGTGCCTCGTGACAATAGTAGTGTGGTCCGTGTCACCGCAGGACGGGTCGGCTGACGCAGCCACGGCCGCTCTGACACGGCAGGGAGGGCAACTGACACTGCTGACTTGGATGGTTGACGCACCACAGCGCGCAGTCAGTGACAGTCACAACCCGACCGCCCAGGCGCACTGCTGCCTTGTTTAGCGGCACTGTCGGCTCGGCCAATGTCCGTGCGCTGATTCGTTCAGAAACAACACAGATTTGGTCCGAAAACACCTCTGGCTCGACCAAAACCATCGACTCACTATCAACGTCCCATTGTCGCACGAGCCATTAATGCCGTCGGTTTAGGCCCGCGTCACTTCTGTCGACACACGGTCAATAGACTGCACGCAGTCTGGCTGCTGGTTGTAGTTTCAAGCACTGGTTAAATGTCAAAATAATAACATGCAGATTACAGATCAACAGCTTGGATCAGTGCAACCTTTGAGTAGGGCCAAATAGAACACCATGAAAAGATGCTGAAGACAGTTAGTGTTCACATGTGGTGGAGCACAGCCTCAGCAAAAGGCAATTCATATTTAAGCAAAAGGGCCTTTGTTTCCCACTTTTCCGGCGTTATGCGTTAGAAGTACCTTCACTAACAATACTCCACCTGCGCTGCCGGGAGACACAGTTTTAAACGACGTTAACAAGCAAGCAATGGTTGTGTTGACAAAAACTGGAAATTCACTTGATAACATCGTGATAACCAGCACCCCCTGATATACTAAGGACGATTAGTCACCATAAGAATTCCGAACCCATAGATCAGGTAACGCCTAGTTGCATATGAAATTGATAGGAAGCTCCCTTATTCTAGTGGGGAAATCTATGCCAGCAATAGTGCACGACACTAACACTAACCGCGACAACTCCTGTTAAAGAACGAGCTCACTGAAGGTCCTATATACATGGCGTGCAAACATACACAACATTTGGGAGTGTCAACAGTCTGCGGTTGATGGCAGGACGTAATGGTCTATGCATTTGATGAAAGAGAGGAGGCTTCATCCTCTACCCGACCAACATTTATAAGGACGTGGCTAACATTCGAAAGAAACCCGCTTTTCGTGTATTGTGAGTGTTTGTTTAGCCACTTCTACCGCTCAGCACCCCCCCCCCCCCCGATCTTTTGGCAAACTTCACTCCTGCTTTTTGGCACTCCAAGTACGCCCGCATACAGCTGCCACGTGAGCCTCCGATACCACACTGGAGTCATGACTGGCGTCAAACGACGCCAGCAGCGGTCATCTTGACACTCGTTTGACCGTCACCCGTGGATACCTGTGGTGTGTCTACACAAGTCAGTATACCCCGGTCGCTACCCCGTCCCGGCCCCATTGCGGAACGAAATGTGAGGTTGAAGTCAGGATCGCAACCAAACAACGAATGTTACTGGAACTGAAACCCATTTCGCCGTGCCACCTGATCTATTCGATGCTGTTTTTGTGTGGGCAAAACACAACAAAGCAAACACACCATGGTCCGTTTGACCAAAGCATGCTGCGTCTTGAGCTGACGTCATTGGTTACACTTTGCCTGTAAAAGGGTCTATGGTCACTGAGGCCCCTCGTTTGCCTCGCCGACTGATTTACGGGTAACATAACGGTAATGCCGAATGAGGTAGCTAAACAACGATTATTACATTATGACGGCGAACATTAAAAACTGCGGCCGATCCGCAGCAAACCAGTGTTGGCACCCCATCGCTGATATTTGTTTGTCTTAAAAAACATGTACGTGTTTCCCTCCTGAAATTCAATACGGTCTTACGCGCCTCGTTCAGCTGCACATCAGTCAGGGCAATGTTAAAACCATACCATCGCTCATGAGAGCCACCAGCTTGGTAACGCCTCACAAGATGAGCCGTTTTTCCATGGTTACCGAAGAGCAGATCACTTGATCTAGGCTACTGTCCGATCTTTGACTGCGACTGACCGGGACACAATGTCATATCGGGTCATGGACACCACTACCTGACCATTCGCGCCTGCGATTTTTCTGGCAGATCAATAAGTCAGTCCCAAACGCACGCAAAATAAAAGGAGCCTATACAAACCTCGGGGTTTACTGAACTCAAACGTTACAGCCTTGCTTCAACAAGCACGAAGGCACGACACGTCTTTGCACTGGGCGAACTGAAGACGACAAATAAAGGCAACAAACGACCCTCAACGGGCGACCTAAAAATGCACACATTCCTAAGACGTTCAGTGCACTAGCGAGGGAACATTATTCCACATAGATTAGACAGTATTAGAAGCCTTATTCCTCGGAGAAAACCAGGAGAGTGGAAATATAGTTTAGGTTGATATTTCGGCAACATACCTTTATCGAAACAACAAAAAAGTGTTCTTCTGCTATTTTTTCGATAAGGACATGTGCCGACCTAACAACCAAACTATATCTCCAATATCCTGGTTTTTCCCCGGGGAATAAAGCTATTACTTTTGTCTTATCTATGCACACATACACACAAAAAGTAAACAAACTCTGAAGTACAAGAAAGACAACCCTGCATATTACACTATTTTGCGAAAAATATCCTGAATGCCATGTTGTAGTAAAATTAGAAGGCGTAAATAAAAATGCAATAGTTGCACTTACTGGACATAACGGATTGTCAATAGCAGATGACAAAAATAAAACGACTTTACTAAATGACCACTTTGCGAGATAGAGAGATTGACACAAGACACGTACTATTGATACACGCAATCTACATCTTCCCACCAACCCTATCAAAGATCCTGACCTTTCCGTACTTGAAAATATTCATGTAACTGAGGTCGAGGCACGTAGGTATATTCACTAAACATGAGCAAATATAATGGTTCTGACGGTATACTCAACGAACTTTTAACGCTAGCAAGCACTCTCACCGGCCAGCCGCTCTCTAAACTTTCCAACACATCTCTGCAATCAGGCCAACTTCCTAAGATTTGGAAACATATAGTTATGGCAATACTCAAAAAGAAAAGCTCCAACTCAGATGTGACAAGCTTTCGCCCCCCCCCCCCACCGATCTTCTTTTCTGTCCTCAAAGTTTCTGGAGAAAATCGTTTTTAAATGGATTAATGAATATCTGGTAGCAAACAACTTGCTATCAGAAGACAGACCCCGTCTCTCTGTCTCCGTCCTCGTCCCTGTCCTGTCCTCTGTCCTCTGTCCTCTGTCCTGTCCTCTGTCCCTGTCCTCTGTCCCTGTCTCTGTCCTCTGTCTCTGTCTCTGTCCTCTGTCTCTGTTCTGTCTCTGTCTCTGTCTCTGTCTCTGTCTCTGTCTCTGTCTCTGTCTCTGTCTCTGTCTCTGTCTCTGTCTCTGTCTCTGTCTCTGTCTCTGTCTCTCCGCCTCGTCTCTGTCTCTGTCTCTGTCTCTGTATCGGCATCGGTATCGGTATCGGTATCGGTATCGGTATCGGTATCGGTATCGGTACGGTACCGGTACCGGTATCGGCATCTGTCTCTGGCGCTGTCTCTAGCTCTGTCTCTGGCTCTGTCTCTGTCTCTGCCTCTGTCTCTGTCTCCGTCTCTGTCTCTGTCTCTGTCACTATCTTACGTTTGTAAAGACGTACATGTGGAAAAAATCGCAGTTTGTGGGTTATCAACAAGATCATATTTGTACAGGCAGCCACGACGCGAAATCTCTTGCTGCTGGAACGCTTGAAACTACAAAAAATCGTTGGCATGTCTAGCACAGACGCCACAAAACAGACTCGTGCATAAAGGTCCTGACCAAGACCAGCTATAGGCAACACTGACCCCGACAAGACACGAAACTTCCAGACGACTTGATAATACGATAATATGGCATATATGGTTGGCGGAGGCTGCCAACAAACACCACCAGTTTGCTTATTCTCTTCGCGCTTTGTTCAGTTTTCGTAATTTGCCAAATCTGAAAGCCCACAGAACTCCACGTGATGGCTACGTTAAAGCTCACAGAAAGTTCGCCAGCCCGTGCTGTTAGAGTCTGCGGGCTTAAAAGTGTCATAAGACTGAGGGCGCCAGTATTTTGGATTTTGAAGTTAACAGAATCGTATCTGTTTCTGGTCGGTGGGCTGAACCGATCCACCACTCGGGGAGGTCTTACGTAGTGAACAATCAACGGTCTTGGTCGTAATAACCGATTTCGTACGATAACAGTTTCGCTATAATGTGTCCCAAATGTTTTGCACACGGCGAGCCAGCTGCTCCCGTAAGGCTTGATGGTACACTCGATGTGGTTGACCCATAGACGGCGCGTTTTGTCGGTGCAGTTCAGGTTATATATATATATATATATATATATATATATATATATATATATATATATATATAGCAAATATCTGGCTCAGGAAACAAAAGCTGCCGAAATCCCAGGAATTTCGAGTTTTGAGAGAAGACATCTGTTTTTGCCCTGTCCATGCCTAGTCCTCACGTGGATCTTGCCCGCCCTCCCCGCTGGGGATTATCCGTGGCGCCGTCACCCCATCACAACCACCGTCGCCGCGTGACCTCCGGGGCGGTAAGGACTCACCTTGTCGAGGAAGACCTCCCCGATGCCCTGCTGGCCGCTCCAAGGACTCACTTTGTCGAGGTAGACCTCATCGATGCCCTGCTGGCTGCTCCAAGGACTCACCTTGTCGAGGAAGACCTCCCCGATGCTCCTGCAGGGGCACTGGCTTCGGCCGGTGTAGGGGACTTGCCCCCCCCCCCCCCCCTCGGGTCCTAGCTCTGGTAACAGGTGGACGGTGCAAGCTGTTCCTCTCAGGGCATAGCGACTCTGCCGGTACGTGAGCTCCCGCTCCTTGTCTCGCCGGCTCCCCCCCCCCCCCCCCCTATTACCCGCTTTCCCGCATCCGGCCCACTCGTCACTCCCAATCCTTGTTTTATAGGGGTCGCCGTGCCCCCTCGTCCGCGTCCCCGGGTTGATCGGATCCCGGTGGCTGAGGGGCGCGTCGTGCGGGCCAGTCACGGCGCGTCCCAACACTCCACATTGGCCAGGATATCCGGAGGCGCGGGGGGCCCGTGGGGCCCCACACGGGTCTAGCGGCTTGTCGCTCGCGCTGCGGCTGGGTGCTCCGTGCGGTTCTCTGCTTAGGGCGGGTGGCCGTGCGCAACGGCTTAAGGGGTTAAGACGCGGCGGCGCTGAACCACGGTCAGGAGAGGAGGGGTCTCCCCGGTTACACCTGGCCGTGTGGGAGGCGTCGTTCGCCCCGTATAGCACCGAGGTAGCCCTGGCGGCACCACCACCCCCTGGGTGAGTGGGCCGTCTCCCAGTTAGGCTCCGAGGTGGGTGGGGCGCTCCGGTGCCGAAATTAACAATAGCATTGCGTGGCATCTACAAACCAAACAAACATCTGCCCCCCTGAGAGGGGGGCGGACTGCGATGATCTAAGGGCGCGGCGATAAGTCGGTTCCACCTGCCCCACGCGTTTTTGTCTTCCGGAGTGATGTGAAGAGCTTAGCATCGCCTTTACCGTTTCAGCGTCGAAACGGATGCGACAGGTTCGGAAAAGTCACCTGCTGTGATAAGCTGAGAGATGGCGCGATCGAGGTAGAGTTCGCAAAGGGCACCGATGCGACTCGAGCTATGACAGCCACTGAATTTGTTTACGCCGCGAGAACCGAGGGTGGAAAACGAGACGTGATCGTGCCAGTCACGGCCACACCGCACCATACCAAAAATTTATCAAAAGGCATCGTAAACTGCTATGACCTTCGTGACGTCAGCGAGGAGGAAATCATCGAAGAATTGGGAGCCTTTGGGGTCACCGCAGCGCGCAGGATCACGACCAGGAGGGGTCATGACCAAATTCCTACAAGCAACATTATATTGACATTTAACCGGCCTCATCTACCGTCTAATATCCGCGTTGGGTACGCCGTTGTCAAAGTCAGAGTCTTCGTTCCAAATCCGATGCAATTTTTCTCAATGCCAGCGCTTTGGTCATACAAAACCACACGGCCGCAATCGAGCTGTCTGTGGGAAGTGTGCATCTCTAGAACATTCGGGAGACCAGTGTACTTCTGTGCAGCCCTGGTGCGTGAAATGTGGCACGGGGCAGGTACCGCACACAGTTTTCGATCAAAGTTGTCCAGCCTCATGAAGAAAAAGAAAATTATGTCACTCAAAACCTCAAAGAACATCTCTTTCCACCAGGCGCGTGAACAGTATAAGGCTAATCACCCCAAAGTATTTTTTGCCGAAAAATCCCAAACCTCTGTACTACAGTCTACCAGCAACAACCACATGTCAGCGGCCCAATTCATCGCGCTCCTGCGATCCTTCGGTTTGTCTGTGGTGCCGGCGGGACGGGCGACTCCCGCCCAGTTGGATCCTCCGGGTCCTTCAGCTGAGTCCTGCTCGGCACACGCTGTGCCGCCGGCCCCTCAGGTGTCGTCGGGGTCGCTAGCGGGGAAGGAGGAGGGATGGACGGTGGTCAGGCGCGGCCATGGTCCGCGGGCTCGGCCGTCCTCGCCGTCTGGCGCTCCGCTGCCCCCGTCGCCTCCGGCGACACTGGCGAGTGCGTGCGGACGGGCAGTGGAAACGATGGAACGGCATGAGGCAGACAGGCGCGCCCGCGACGCCAAGCGGGCCCGCTTGGCCGAGTTGGAGCGGGCTAAGGCGGCCAATCGTTTGTCCGGTGCAAGCAAGGAGCCCGCCCCTTGCAGTGGTACACCATCGCCTAGAAGGCCAGTGGAGGCCCCGTCTGACCCCCAGACGCCCGGTAAAGGCCCGCCGATGGGCCCTCCTCCGCCGCCACCCCGGACTGGGTACGCTGGCGTGAAGCGTGCCCCGGCCGGTCCCCCGTCTCCGTCGGACGGAGGGAGCCACAGAACTTGTCCCAGAGTGGGGCACGTTCCCGCAGAATCGAGCCGTGGCTCTCAGTCTGAAACGTCTGCTCCTGCAACTGGCGCAGTCCAGTTCTTTTAGGACGTGTCCGGTTTTAGTATGTGACCTC